TTGGCTAACGGCTATTCACAAAACTCGTGCAATTTGACCAGTGTATTTGGCTAATGGTTCTTCATCCTACTAGATCATCTCGATTAATGGTTATTTACACTTCTAGATTAGCCTATTTTGCTATTCAAACAATTAGATTACCTATCAACTCATAGCATATTTATTATCCCAAATGTTGGGTTTAGCGTTGATTAACTTAATAAATTTAGCTAATTCGCTTGTCTTAGCATCCACTGCTTTTTATTTTTTTTAAATTAACTTTTAAATCTTAATAAGTTAATCAAGACCAGAGCTGAGAAGAGTGGACGCTAATGAGTTTATACAAATTTTTAGGCAACACACACACACACACGCACACACACTCACATATATATATATATATATATATATATATATATATATATATATATATATATATATATAGGATGGCTTTACCTGACACTCCGACAAAACTAGATCTTTGTTAACAGCTAAAATCTGATTAGACAACTGCAGTTTATTATATTTTTAAAAAAATTCTATATGCAATCCACTAATATGCTTAATTAAATAGTTCCACTCCCTCCCATCCCCACTCATCCATCCAGTACCCCCCCCCCCTCTCCCTTGCTCCACTGGCCAAACAATTTTTACAAAAGGATATTCATTGGAAATTATCTCCCCTTGAATTAATCATATCGCTGCACGGCGCTCCACAAACGGTGAGAAAACCGGAAGTGGAATATTGGCTTGATTAGATTAGCAATGGCCGAGGCGACAATGCACGAGTGAAGTGTGAGCCCCGGTGTCAAATAATAAGTCCAGACCCGTTTCCGGTCGGACGCGCATGCGTCAGTTAGCCAAGGGGAATGGCTGGAGTGTCGGGCTAGTTTAGCACCGGCCCTCTCAGGCGCTCGTTCTACAGAGTTTCTGGGCGGGAATGGCGAGTTGTTGTCGCGCTAGTCACAGAGGGATTGAAAATAATTAGGGGTGGGGGTGTCATTTAATGGTTGAAATTAATAGTACAGGTAGTTAAATGATACATAAATAAATCATATAGATTTTTCTATTTGTCTCTCTCCTGTGTTAACTGTAGCAAAGACTTATATAATGAGAGTGTAGGTCATGATGTTCTGAATAGAAAAGTGCATGCTACAAAATGTTATTACTGATAGGATCAGGACATTTTCCTGGTAATAAGTTTAAATCTGTTGAACGTGGGCATGTTAAACAGGTGAATTGATTGGTTGTGGTCATGTTAAACAGGTAAAATGGTTGGCTGTGGTCATGTTAAACAGGTAAAATGTTTGACTGTGGTCATGTTAAACAGGTAAAATGGTTGGCTGATCATGTTAAACAGGTAAAATGGTTGGCTGTGGTCATGTTAAACAGGTAAAATGGTTGGCTGTGGTCATGTTAAACCGGTAAAATGGTTGGCTGTGGTCATGTTAAACCGGTAAAATGGTTGGCTGTGGTCATGTTAAACAGGTGAATTGATTGGTTGTGGTCATGTTAAACAGGTAAAATGGTTGGCTGGTCATGTTAAACAGGTAAAATGGTTGGCTGTGGTCATGTTAAACAGGTGAATTGATTGGTTGTGGTCATGTTAAACCGTTAAAATGGTTGGCTGTGGTCATGTTAAACAGGTAAAATGGTTGGCTGTGGTCATGTTAAACCGGTAAAATGGTTGGCTGTGGTCATGTTAAACAGGTAAAATGGTTGGCTGTGGTCATCTTAAACAGGTGAATTGATTGGTTGTGGTCATGTTAAACAGGTAAAATGGTTGACTGTGGACATGTTAAACAGGTAAAATGTTTGACTGTGGACATGTTAAACAGGTAAAATGGTTGGCTGTGGTCATGTTAAACAGGTAAAATGGTTGACTGTGGACATGTTAAACAGGTAAAATGTTTGACTGTGGACATGTTAAACAGGTAAAATGTTTGACTGTGGACATGTTAAACAGGTAAAATGTTTGACTGTGGATATGTTAAACAGGTAAAATGGTTGGCTGTGGTCATGTTAAACAGGTAAAATGGTTGACTGTGGACATGTTAAACAGGTAAAATGTTTGACTGTGGACATGTTAAACAGGTAAAATGTTTGACTGTGGACATGTTAAACAGGTAAAATGGTTGGCTGTGGTCATGTTAAACAGGTAAAATGGTTGACTGTGGACATGTTAAACAGGTAAAATGGTTGGCTGTGGACATGTTAAACAGGTAAAATGGTTGGCTGTGGACATGTTAAACAGGTAAAATGTTTGACTGTGGACATGTTAAACAGGTAAAATGTTTGACTGTGGACATGTTAAACAGGTAAAATGGTTGGCTGTGGTCATATTAAACAGATAAAATGGTTGGCTGTTGCCATTGTAACATAAGACATCAGCTCTAACTATATGTTTGTTACATAGAGTGTAGTCAGCTGTATTTGAAAACAAATTGTCCGCATTAATATTAACAACTAGCAAACAATCAACATGAGTTGCTACCCTGCTGGGGTGGACACATGTTTGGAATTGGTTCTGTAACTCCAGTGTTGCTAAATGGTTTTTTTTTTCCCTGTAGTTTTTATAGCGTGGGGAAACGGGCTTTCACAATGTTTTATTCGAATATTTTTGTATCCATGTTTCCTAGCTGTGAACAAAAATAGCCAGTGTCTTGTGTCCGTACACCAGTCAACAGATGTACTCTACCAGATGTTGGGTCGTTGTTATCTTCAATCTATCCAATACAAGTAAGTATCCAATTTCATCTACACCCAACAATGTTACTTTACATTAAGTGGTTGTTCGACTGTTTAACATACAGATGTTCAATGTAGGTGAGAAACACACATTTTATGTTAGTGATAAACTCATGTTTCATGCTTGTTGTTGTGTGAATGATAACACCATATCCGTGTGTGTTCGCGGAGATAAGGGGGGAAACCATATACACTTTGCACAACAGAAAAGCTCTCTCTTTAATGTATCACCATATTCACGTGCGTGTCGAAGTAATCTAACAAATCTTTGTAACAACGTGTTTCTTTTGTAACAAAGTAAACATCTTTGTTACTATGAGTTTCTATTCTGTCCCTTATACCAAAAAAATATCTTCATATAAATGTCATCTTCATTCTAAGGAAATAAAAAGGTAATTTGCGAACACAATTCCTTATCACTAGCTCTTATGTAACCTAACGGTAAACAATTCTGAGATGAATCCTAACAATTGATTGGCTGCAGCCTCGGCTAATCAACACACTCCACACAGGCAGCTAAGGTACCCAGCTGACAGAAGAGGATAAATATCGTCCATTCACGTATTATAGGTTAGAAGTTAGGAGGAAGCTTAAATATTTCCTCACAATCTTTCTTGCACGTACACACGGAATAAACTCAAGAAATAGCAGACAATGTAGCTGGAATACACCAGAGAGCAGCAGTATAAAAATGATCCTTTCATATATCACAGGCATGACTCAGCGCGGTCAAACTGCGATCGATTCAAGGGACGCAACTGTGTAAATAGTTTATTAAAATTGTTTTCCTGAATTACCTCATCTTGATGTTTGTTTACCTGTTGAAAAAGGTTGGGTATGGCCCGGTATGGGTATTTAGGAGAGAGGAAGAATATAAGGATAACGAATACATTCATTAATATTTCAATTAAATCGATCAAATATTTGCCTTGTAAAACAAGACCTTCATGACAATCTTCCTATAGGACGTGAGTTATGTAATGCTGTAATAAACCAATTGTGTCGCCTCACTAGCGTGGCGATGGGGAGATTACCCTATGTCGCCTCACTAGCGGGGTGATGGGGAGATTACCCTATGTTAACCAGCTTGTTGTATGATGGGAAAAATACCTGGTGTGATACGGGATGTTGGGAGTGGGGGGGGAGGGGGGGGGGGAGATATCACAAGCAGGGAACATAAATCTACTGGTAGCGATTGATATAAAAGCGGTAAATCTCGTATAAAATCCTACGAGTTGCTATACAACATCTATGTTAGTAAGCGACTAAATTTGTTGTATCATTTGTTTCGTTGTTTGATTTCTTGAAGAGGTATTTATATTTTTGAAGTATAATTAATTATATTCTCCACATTTTTGCTAAAGTGTCAATTTTCATTACAAATCTACAATTGTGTGATCAAGAGATGATAATATTATGGAGTGGCCAGGAATTGGTCATGGGAGGGGTTCAAATATTTTACCATATGTATAAAAGCTTATATATATATATATATATATATATATATATATATATATATATATATATATATATATACCTTAGCCTTAGGCTTAGACCCTACGGATTAAGTTTATGATTATAATGGCCTTAAGGATTGGGTTTATGATTATAACGGCCTTGTGGTTGGTATTTGTAATTTGCGGACGTTATATTTATGAATATGTGGGTATGTCCAGGACCGGATTTAGACTTGATAAGAATCTATTTTCGTTATGAGGTCATCAATACGTCCAGATGTTGTGTGTCAGTGCCAGACATTTGCTGTTTTCAACTAGAAGTTTGCCCAAACTACTTGTAGTGGAAAGAGAACTAAGACTTCACAACGGTTTGAAGAAAAAAGGAAATAAAAAATAAATGTAACAAAATAATTTTAGCGACTTAATATCTACAATGGTTTAAAGAAGATAAGGTATCCCCCCCCCCCCCCCCACCATACCTATAAAAAGCGGGGGCCCTAAACTATTTATAGTTTAGCTCATTCTTAAATCCAGCACTGATTTTATCTAAAGTAAAGACAGGATATTTTCAAAATTCGTCCCGATCAAACTGCGATAATTTACGGCGTGTAATCTCAACAAAATGCTGTGATTATTGTTTGAAGGTACACATAAATCGATGATGTCACATGCACGAACCACAGCATGTCGTATTTCTTCGGATGTTTTCTCGACTAACTTCTTATCTAAGCTTATCAGTTTTATTACTTTTATAGGCTGTGTGTTCTTTCAAGGTAGTACGGCTCGCCCGACTCTAAACCGAATTATTGTCTCAGTTGTTAGCCTAGGGTGTAACGTTCTACCAAATGGCAGACAACCAAGGCGGTGTGTGACACGTGAATAAGAAATAATGTACATTCAAACACAATTTGGACCGCTGTGTGTTGTTTCCCTTTGATGATTTTTCTTTTAAAAGTTCTGTTATCTGAAGTAATACGGTAAGTGGCTATTATCAGACGTGGCGTTTGGTTCTACAGCTTTTTCGGAACTAGTACTAAGATAATATAGGTCTAGGTCAAGTTCTACTTTTCAAGTGTTATTTTTTTTTTGCTATGTAAATAGGACTAGCAATGCTTTGTGCTCGTGGTCATTGTGATACTGTACCGTAATAGTACTAATAGTGTCGGGTAGTGATATAAATTATAGTGATAGGGTTTATAGTGATGGTACTGATGTCGGTCGTACTGGTGGTGGTAGTATTGGTGGTGATAGTACATATACCGTACTATATACCAGTTGTCACATCCATATACCTATATACCTGCTGATGTCACTTCCATATACCTATATACCTGCCAGAGTTTCTGCCAGGCATCTCTTCGGGGGGGGGGGGGGGGGGGGGGGGGCGAAGAGATGCCCCCGAAATTTTTTTACCGCCCCCCCCCCCCCGAACGAAATAAATGTATATACTTTATATAGAAAATATATACTTTTAACAGTGTCCGCACCCCCCCCCAAAACAAAAGTCTACCGCCCCCCCCCCCCCGAAAATTTCAAGTGCCCCCCCCCCCCCCCCCGGAGAAAAAAGTCTGGAAGAAACACTGATACCTGCTGATGTCACATCCATATACCTATATACCTGCTGATGTCACATCAATCTACCTATATACCTGCTAATGTCACATCCATATACCTATATACCTGCTGATGTCACATCCATATACCTATATACCTGCTGATGTCACATCCATATACCTATATACCTGCTGATGTCACATCCATATACCTATATACCTGCTGATGTCACATCCATATACCTATATACCTGCTAATGTCACATCCATATACCTATATACCTGCTGATGTCACATCCATATACCTATATACCTGCTGATGTCACATCAATCTACCTATATACCTGCTGATGTCACATCCATATACCTATATACCTGCTGATGTCACATCCATATACATATATACCTGCTGATGTCACATCCATATACCTATATACCTGCTGATGTCACATCCATATACATATATACCTGCTGATGTCACATCCATATACCTATATACCTGCTGATGTCACATCAATCTACCTATATACCTGCTGATGTCACATCAATCTACCTATATACCCGCTGATGTCACATCCATATACCAATATACCTGCTTATGTCACATCCATATACATATATACCTGCTGATGTCACATCCATATACCTATATACATCTTGATGTCACATCCATATGCCTATATACAAGCTTATGTCGCATCCATATACCTATATACCTACTGATGACATATCCATATACCTAAATACATCTTGATGTCACATCCATATACCTATATACCTGCTTATGTCACATCCATATACCTATATACATCTTGATGTTACATCCATATGCCTATATACATGTTGATGTCACATCCATATACCTATATACCTGCTTATGTCACATCCATATACCTATATACCTGCTTATGTCACATCCATATACCTATATACCTGCTGATGTTACATACATATACCAATATAGGGCCTACATGCTGATGTCACATCCATATACCTATATACCTGCTGATGTCACACCTATAAACTTAAGCGCCTGTAACATTTAAATGTAAACGACCACACGTCTTGCCCGAGTTGCTTGCAGTATTCTAGCTTTTATTTCCTACTGCTAGTTACTACGGTCCGTTTATATTTATGTGCTATAGTTTGATGCTAGCAGCCGATTTACTGCCCTTTGTTGTCGGTTCTTATTGTTATCGATCCCTGTGAACGGACGATTATGGTCGACGTTTTTACCTTTATTGTAGTCCCCCTAAACCGTCGTCGTGTTTCATCTGTACACCTGGATTGGATAAAATTACAAGCTTACCTGTCCATGTCACAGGTGTGGTTATGAATGTGTATACTCAGTTTTGTTCAATGCGTTGTGTGGGGGTGGGGGTGACGTTTTCTAACAATCGTGATTGAATCGTTGTCAGGGACATACATACCTAAATCTATAAACTAGGCAATCCTGGGTCCTAGTTCGTTCCATGTTACCAACCAATTTAGTTAAGTTATGTTGTATCACAACTTCGTTAGGCTGTATCACAGCTTGCTTCATTAGGTTGTTTCACAGGTTCATTAAGTTGTATCACAGCTTCATTAGGTTGTATCACAGCTTCATTAGGTTGTATCACAGGTTCATTAAGTTGTATCACAACTTCATTAGGTTGTATCACAACTTCATTAGGTTGTATCACAGCTTCATTAGGTTGTATCACAGCTTCATTAGGTTGTATCACAGCTTCATTAGGTTGTATCATAGCTTCATTAGGTTGTATTACATCTTCATTAGGTTGTATCCTGGGGCGGAACTACAATGTCGCCAGACCCCGCAGTGCGGGGGGGGGGGGGACAAGCCCTTTAGGGGCCCTATTCCGACCAAAAAATTTTATTTTCATAAATAATGTTTTCCGTGCACCTGTGCACCTTGATGGTAATTTTGTAAAAAAACAACAGGTCTACTATATCAGCGATTGTTCTACATTAACTAACACACACTGTTGCGTAGATAAATATTTTAAAAAATCGTCATGAGCTGTAGTGTAAAAGAAAAGCATGGGTCACTTTAGTACTTTAGTACCTATTGGATACCTTTACTAATATTTCAGAAGAGACCCACGCTTTTCTTTATAGTAATTTAAATAGTAGTGTATAATTTATTTTCTACTTTTTGGTGCATTAGTACATAAAAGCTTGTTATTAAAACGTTTTTTATGAATTTTTTTTTCAGTACTTTACATGTTTTATTTACAATAGTGTTACATGACTAAAAACCATTGCGCGTCTATTGAACGTGATGGCGCAGCCATTAAACGTGATGGCGCAGCTATTGAACGCATGACGCGTGTGGTGTGGTTGGATAGACATGCCTACTAATTCGGTCCAAATTTTAATTAATTCATAAAAAATTAATTAGGCATCCAATTAAGTCAAATTTAGTTTCAGATTGCATTGTCTTCATGTCTTGACCCCCGTGCCAACTGTGAATCGTATCGGTCAAGTAGAAGTGTCCGAATTTTCACTCCAGCGTTTCGATCTAGACAGACTGACGACTGACGACAGAGGAAGCAAGTTAAATAAAAGCTTGTAATAGTACCAATTCATACACGTCAAGAGACCACGTCGCTACCTCGAGAAGTTTTTGATTTAGCGAGATAAAGAAAATAGAGGTTTATTTTTAAGTTAGTGTTGCTGCATTGTCGACAGAGTTGTTTTTTTAATTTGATGCTGTTTTCGATGTAATGCTGAATGTACAGCCACAACAAATAGCCTAATCCATTAGACTTAAACACGTTTTGCCTCTGATAATATCGTCATTCTTATACTTTGTTAAAATTTCGACGTTGGTTGTAGCCGAAGGTATTCAAGAGCGTAGACTGTAATTGCCCACCGAAGATGTTGATCACAATGGTTTTGTAAGGTTCTGTAAGTTAAACGGTTGAAAATAGAAAGAAAAATTACAAAAGCATCGACTCAATCTGATTGAAAAAAATGGAATGCTGTATTTCTTGTCGAGAAACAAAAAATTGATATAAAAACATGGGTATAGGGAGGTAAAACTAATCGTTCATTGATCATCTGTATGTCGCAAGCTGTACGCATTAGTGAACACGTGATGTATGACCCACCAACCTAAGATCAACCCCTACAGTATATAAGGAATGCACCGAACTGTCATATAGAGTGCCAATGGTGACTGGATCAAGGGAAATAATCGTTGCAGGTCACATCTGGCGAGCTTTGCTGTTGTGTTAGAAGTGAATTTAACAGGGGCTTAGCTAGGAGGACGTCACGGAGATTTCACCAAAGAAACACAGCAACTAATACTTCCAGTTACCAGAACTCGGTCTAAATTCTAAAGAAACCTAGAATTAGAACCTTATAATCATTTATGAAATGTTATCCATCTAACCAAAGTGGTTTACGATGTATCGTGTTCACACACTCAAACAAACAAACGTACAGACATTTCAACATCTGCTGAGGTTAAAAATGGTTTGATTCTTAAGTCTGTCTTTTAACTTTTGTGTTTAGTCGACAAATAAAAAACAGCGTTGACTCTACTTGACTATTTTCGATGTTCATCTTAATGGTGATTTAAACACAAATGTTAAGTCAAATAAAAAACAAACAATTCAACAAAGATCTTAAATTATAGATCCAATCTGATTTACATATATATAGAGAGAGAGCTTAGCAGTGGAGAAGATATTAAAGGGAAAAGGGGCTTTTAACCCAAACCTCCCTAAATAAAAGTGTCGTTTTCTCTGATAGTCGTTGCAATATATATATATATATATATATATATATATATATATATATATATATATATATATATATATATATATATATATATATATATATATATATACGTATATATACATATGTATATGTAGACGCGTGTGTGCGTGTATGTTTATGTTGAATTGGAGGTGCTCGTGCCCGTGTGCATGTTTGTTGGTTTGTGTGTTAGTATGTTTGCGTGGAAAATTTTTTAGTGATAATTTGACACATTTCTACACACGCCACTACAACTTAACCTGCTGTTAAAGACGGGTTGCGAGTGGTGATAACAATGGGTATGTTGTGTCCCAATTCACACAAGCTAACTATTAGACATATGAAGAGATGAATTATACATTTAAGCTCCACTTCTGCAATACATGCGCTAAAAAAGGCTTGAGCTATACTTTCTAATTATACCATCTAGAGCTTAGCTAAACTTAAATAAAAAAAAAGAAAGATATATTTATCAAACGCCAAATATTATTGGTTAAAGATTAGTTTCGCTAAAACAGAACGTCATACTTTTGTTTGAACTTAGAGTGATTGATACACTAAACATTTTATTGTCGCCTCACAAGTTCCAGATCAATTCGCAACTTGCAGTCAGTTGTATAACTATCTGAGCAGGCCCTACTGACCCAAATACAGAGATT